AAAAGTTTATTGACCATAATATTATTATTTATTTCTAATAACTAAAAATGTCTTTGACTTATTTCTATTATTTATTTATTTTTGAATTTTAAGAGTTCCTGTTCATTTTATAGGTATATTTCGTAATTTCACCTCTTTTAGTGCATAAGAAATAATTGATATAAGTTTTCATAAGTTTTCAAAATAACAAAAATTACGTACTTGAGATTTTCAATACAAATATTTTATTATGTCCAACGTCCAACATTCTAACATAAATGCATTTTTAATGCAACGAGATCAACATAAATAACATTTATATTAGGCAATACTGCTATTGCTATAGCCGTTTTCATAAATATAATGTTATTGAATGCATAGGTATTTCGTCTTTATGTGCATGCCTAACACAGTTATAATAAAGACTAAATATCCCAAGATAACCTTGCCTAAACGTTAAAATTTGAGCAAGACACTTTCGACCAAAAACGTACCCTTCCCTTTACGGCCGAATCACATTTCGACCAAAAAAATATTATTAAATAATAATTATAAGTCTTTATATAGAAAAAATAATTTTTGTTAGTTATTTTTAAATATAGTAATAGGTTACAAATAAATAATTATAATAATTACATAATATAAGTCTTTATGTTATACATATTATCATAAAAAAATATTAAAAAATGTATAAGTTGTATAAAATACTAATAATAATATAATCATAATATTCATACCTGTCATAATTAATTTTTTTTACTCACTTTTGTTAGCACTGTTTAGGTTAGGTTGCTGGTTCACTATTTTTTAAAGTAGTTATTTGAAACCAACTTAATAAAATCATACCTACAAATATGAAAGTATACAAATATTTACTTTTAGGTAATTATAAAGCATAGCTATATACTATATCTGTCAAGTTGTCCGTTTTGATAATCCATGATGTATTTTTCATTTTTCAATAACATTAATATTGTATACTATATTAAACTTTTTTTTTGGTCGACCTTTTTCAAAATTTAGTCGAAAAGTGAATCGACCGAAAAGGGAAGGGTACGTTTTTGGTCGAAAACGGCCATGCCCTAAAATTTATACATGCGTTTATGAAATAAAAAACACTAAATTTTCCTTTAGATTATACCTACATTGTTAAATAGTTTTTACTTTTTTACAATAAAAATAATAATATTCTGTGGTTCATATTTATCTAGCTATTGGTATAACTAATACATGTATCAATTCATAATTTACTCATACATTTTGATTCCAATTGTCAGTTCTGAAATTTAAGTAGATCGTAGGTCGTTGATTCTCGACACTATAGATACCTATATATTTATTATTTATTAAATATCAATAGCACGGTTGTTACATGTTCCAAAATAAATTTAATATTTATTGTTACTTTTTTACAGTTTTGATAAAATAGTCATAGTCACAAATATTTTCGAAATTCAGAGCAAAAATATTATAACTACAACCTAATTAAAAGCGATAATCATAATTTTTATATGATTAATTTTATTTTTTAACGATGTTTTAACTTAAAATGTAATCAGGAATGTAATATATAATATGTTATGTTATAGTTATTTTTAATTAGTCATCAGAATTCTTATAGTAGGTAATGTTAATAATTTAAAATAATATTTTTTTCATTATTATTATTATTTAGTAACTATAATTTTACATTATAGATTATATTATTTATACTATTCAATCATTTAAATTTGATCGAGTTTTCAATTATTATTAAACAATATACGATTTAAAATGAATTATTCAGCCTTATAAAATATTATCTGGTATTTTTAATAAAATATCTCCTCTATATATCGGTAGAAAGTATCTATCGGATTTTAAAGCATTTTAATAATTCAGTACATCATTAATAACTATCCGTATGTATTGTAAAATATAATATAATAAGTACATAACGGTTGTGTATCATAAAGTTTCCTCTGAGATTATACTGTCTTACAAAAAATAATAATAATAAGGTACAATTTTTGTGAGGATAATAATTGTGATGCGATTCCACCCTCCATTACATTTCACGCCCTTCAAAGAATAATAATAATAACATTAATAATAATGTCAATATTTGATTGTACACAGCTGCAGACTGTCGCCAGTGGGTCGCTACGACCTCAGTGACAGTTGTCCATAGGGAAGGCCGCCGTCACCGATTCTAAGTATTTTCACGCACTCGCAGTCATCCCTTGAATACGTATTTTATGAACTGGCTAACGCTCGGTTATCCGTACCCCCTACAACGAAGCAATAGAATGGCATTATTAAACAATGGTAGGGGGATTATGTTTTTATCGTCGTATGGTATGTTCCTTTTCATCCATTATAAACGAGTCTTGTGTCCGCTGCTACACAAAAGAAAACAAAATAAATGCCAAAACGAATACCGTAACGAATTCCATATAGGTTTCACTTAAGATTTTCATGCTACCTACTTCACTAGATATACGTATTGTACAAACTTAGTATTGTAGAATTAAAAATTGTACACGTGGTTTTGCCCAAACATATTATATTTGAGATTAAGATATTTTATACATTAAATTTCATTTTTAGTGTACTTTATACAGTATATTTTACAATCACATTACCTACATATTACTTAGTACACGTCTACATATAGTCCGTAAAGAAAATTAACTATAATAGTTACATTTATAACATACAACGGCGATACAATTATTATTAATTAAATAAGTATTTAGTTTAGTATAAATTATATCATATGTTATCAAGCCAGATGTTGGAATTATATTCTTTTTTTGAGTCTTTGCAGTCAAATTTCGGTTAGAAAACTATAAAAATTATGAATCATATAATTATTTAATTATATGATTATAATATATAATTAACCCAGCAAAAGTTTTTTTTTGCATATGTGAGAATATTTTTAGATGAGATAATATTTCGTATTAAAAAGAATATTAGAGAATATATCGATTCATTTTATAGAATTTGGATATTTTGTGTATTAGGTACGAAAATTATAAATAATATTAAATAAGATTTTAGTCTTTTATTATTGAGATAACTATAAATGGAATAATAATTACAACGCACAACAAGTCGTGTATGCTAAAAATGAATTGGTAAAATATTTCAAAAACAGCTCCAAACGTTCGTTAATAACAATCATGTATCGAGTTCATAGAGATTAGAGGTACAAAGTTCGTATTATACAACATAATATTGTGATGTGCGAGTGTAGTTGATTTAGTTAATAGTCCATTTATTTAGTATCTATTGCTAAGTATCGCGCGTCGTTTATAGTTTATAATAAGGGTGAGCTACTAGCGGCCCGCGAACCTTTTTTATCTGACCCGCGTTATATGATCAAATTACATCATATAATTTTAAAGTCGATTGTCTATAGTATAGAAATCGTCTTACAGATGAAACATTAGGCCACCTACTTCGTGTTTCCTCTTCCGAAATAGAAGTTGATTTTGCTGTGTTATCATTAGCAGTCACATGTCCTCGAAACTCACATAAAACAAATACTAATAGTATTATTTATATTTAAATTTTCAATAACTTTTTCACTGTTAATATTCACATTATAAACAAAATAAATACTGAATTAAAATGCATATTTGGAACTTTTTTTTCTGCTCTCTATACTCTGGCCCGCTAAATTTTAATTTTCTAAAAATTGGCCCTCTAATAACTTTTAGTTGCCCATCCCTGCTTTATAATATGTAGTGTTGTCATACCGAGTGTATTTTTTTTTCATTCAATTCTTTATTTTTTGTTAAATATAAAAATTATTTTTATATTTAAAATATATTTAATATTTTTTTTAAATATAAAAGCATATTATGAATTTAAGAGAAATATATTACTATAAAAGCATATTTAACACGGTTTTTAAAGAATGTTAGAATATTATCAATGTTTTAGAGGAATATTAGCATCTTATTTTGGCTATTTTACCTTATAAGTTAAACCTAATTAATATTCGCCGTTAAGATAGGAATAGTAGGAACGTATCATGCCCAGTTCCTTAACTCACACCCATCTATAAATTTAGTTATTTAAGTTCTGAAAAACTATTTAGATAAACCAAAAAAAAATTACAATTTAATAAAGTATATTATTAGTGTAAAGGAAAAGGAAACATTGCCCAGAAAATCATATACAATCGTGTTATTTTTACTGCCCATTGTTGTGTGTTCTCAAAAAGGCAAAACGAACCAAATTGTATCGTACCCATGAACGTTTCTGTTCACTTCTACCAACCTAATTTATCTCGTGTTATTTTTTGATTAAACATAAAATACTCCTCAAAATGTTTTGAAAAAAAGGCATGAATAATAAAACGGTATCATAATAACAGTATCTACAGACACCAACACATATAATGTTTATCATGTTTATAGTATCTATGTTGGGAAAAATAAATCTATACAAGAAAAGTATTATTTGGTTATAAACATTTAAATATTCAATGATGATTTGATAAGTAATAATTTTAACTACAAAAATAAAAGTATTGATGAATAATCAATTAACTGATTTATTTATGACTTTATGAGCAAAAATAATTATTTGTTTAAAGCCTAATTTGGGAGAGCTGTCTACATACATTAAAAAATATACAAATAATATATAACGGCTATTTTAATAATGTTCAAATGAATAATAATAGGTCATATCAAATCGTTTCATAGATCAATTATATTGGCATAATTAAATTTTAAAAGTAATGGTGGTTTTAATTTTTACTACAGCTATTTTATGGTAATTTATGTACAATTACCTTTTGAGTTATAGCAATATTTTTAACAATTTTCATGATATAAAAATTTTAAGAATGCTAAATCAATCAACAATACTTATAATTTTCTTATAGAAAAATTATAAAACACTTATTTTTATATTCATAAAGGTTCATGAATAAAATTGTAAAAAAATATTTACAAATTACTCAGAATAATAATTGTCGTGAATTCGTGAAAATAAGTATTTTATGCGTAAGTTATTTAAAACGTATAAAACGCATAGGAATTATTAAATAAATATCAACTGAGCTACGAAGTACAATAATGTTAAAACGTGTCCAGCAGTAACACAGGGGGATGAAAATATTTGTATCTTACCAAAGACACAATGAAGGCTGGCTACGGTACGGTGACCAATACACTGATTTTGTTTGAAAGACACTCATGTAGCTATATAATAAAATATGTTAGTATACTGTAACGCAATCACCACGGGTGATCCTCTTTTTGCTAACAAAAGAAAGGCATAATAGCGAAGAAACTAAATGTGGTTTGTACATATGGAATATTTTCAATAGATACTTATTTCTCAGAATCCTCAGAAAATAAACGAATACCCTAACATAACGAACTAAATAATATACTGTATATTTTATAAATGATGTGATCAACGATGTATTATTTATACACATAAGTAATAATAATCATATGGGGAAGACTCAACTTTCTCCCTAAGTCTTCCAAGTTTCCAATAAACATCTTTTTTTGTTGTAAATTACGTTCTAATATTATTTGTATGGAAGATAGTAATAAGTTAGAGTGTCGAATGCAAATATACTTCAAGAGGGCAGGGAAAATGCCTCGGTTAAATTTGAAATTTTAATTTCCCTCCCCTGACAAACACAACTATCGACAAAATTCATTTATTCATACAATATTCGTCATCATTACCTAGAACTTGTTTAATTGTGTTCAATAAAATATAATTCATTATTATCATTGTCTTAATAACATACTATTTACCTCCACCCATTCATCAGAAAAATATCTAGGTACAAAACTGGTTACGTCCCGAGTATTTTTATCAATAAAATTTAATAAAATAATCTTAAGACACAGTTTAATATACGTAAAGAACGAAGCCGTAACTAAAGTCATAATGGTATGGGTAATGCTGCAGTGGATACTGAATACCTCATGATATGGAAATCTTCCATTGTTCAATGTATATCGTCTATATTAGTCTATACCACAGCTCACAATGTGTATGTTAAGTTGGCACTACGCGAATTTAATCGAATGACTCTTGTCGGATAACTTGGTTGACCGGGAAAAATGTAAATGTAAATGTGTGTTATGAACAAATGTCATATAGTGCTCTAGAACCGTTTTCAAAAGCTTTCAACTTAGATGTGGTGCTATTGAGAAGTTGGGGCAGCACATGGTATTTACCAGGTAGGTAACTCGCGTGTTACAAGTCCTCATCACCAATTCGGCAATCGTAATACCTAACCTGTTAAAGACATATTTTTAAGTAATATTATGGTAATTTGCTAGTAAGTGTAATAAGTGCCAACTACACGTACGCGGGTACAACATATTCGGGCTAAAATCGAAAAAAGACGAGTGTTCCCGAAATACCGGTTACACAGTGGCCCCTACTCTACTATTACTATTACACTATACGGCGCAGAGTGGAGTGGGAAGACGATAGTCGTCAAGACGCAGCGCAACACCTCGTTTGCGGCTCAGTGCTTCACAGACACACCCGGGAATTAGTTGTATTCGCCAGTCTGATCCGATACCGTTTAATGTTCTACTCGCACAGGCGTCCGGCACATATGTATTAAAATTCACAAATCCGTTGTTATCATCGTTACCGTTTTGATATTTGAATTTCAGTACGTTACATTACTAACATTTGTTATCATCTATTACAAACCGTTGTTTTATTGTTTTTTTTCACAAACCGCGATTTTTTCTTTGTGTTTGGTATAATATATTTAAATATCAAGTTCAAGATGGTGCTGAATAGTCCGGAATTATATAATAACAATATTCCACTTACTGTCCCGGAAGACTCTGTGCTGAACTCCTTGATGTACGATTTTTTCAGCTACAGGTATTTCAAAAACAAAGAGCAGAGAAGAATGATAATTCGTATGTTAAAAAGTAAGTGCAACATATTATTATATAGTAATGTACCGCTAGATTTCGATTATATTTTATAATTTTTGGCACATAGATTAATTTCCTTATATTAATTAATTACCATTCTCTTATAAAATGTCATGTATAAACAATAGACCTCCGTGATAACCATACACAAACAATAGATATTAGATTGGTCCCCGAAACTTTTTCCTTTGTTATAAGTATTTATTTATTAAACATTTATATTTCTAGCCATTACAACATATGCTTGGGTATTATTATAGTATATTAATACCTATATTTTGTCATATTTTCAGAATAATACATTAAAAAAACTTAAATTAAGTCCTCATCACTATGTGTCACTAATTAACAGAATATCGGCAGAGATGTATTTTTAATATGTAATAATTTAACAATAATGATTCTTTACACTTGTTATTAAGTCTGAACCATGCATAGTCATAAAACCAACTTAGGCGTTTAGTAGATAAATGAATTGTTTGTAACATAGAATAAGGTTTTAGGGAAAATCTCAATATATTTATTGTTCAGGGTAGGTATAATATGTAAAATATTTAACAAATTTACCCAAAGTTGCAAATTCTAATTATTTTTATTATTTATTAATTAAATATGATAATTAAAAATATGCTACTACTTATGGAAAGATCCACTCTGTGTTTCACACTTAGGAATTGGTTAATTAATTAAATTAAAATGCATAATATAACAAAAAATTAAAATGTTCAAAATGTATCAAGAGGAGGAAAAATTGGTGAGGTATCTATATTATTATTGGTAATTAATAATTTCTATTTATGGTCTTAACATTTACTGTTACTATGATAAGTACATAATCGTGTGTGTGTAATGTGTATATTATTTAATTTATTATTATGTTTTTAAGGAGATTCGGACATAATATTGTCGTTGCCGAAGAACTGTGGAAGAACAATGTGTTTTCAACTCCCTATGCTTATCACCGAGCGGAAGGTATCCATCGTTTTTGTTGGTCTCAAGTCACGGATTGAAGTAATGCATTTTTTATGAAAAATAAATTTTACGAATATTTAGTAAAATTGTATTCTTGTAGGGGCAAATGAACCGGTTGAGAAGAGGAAATCATTGTGTAGAATTTATAGATTCAAGTACAAATGCACGTGGTTGGACTCGTATAGTTAATAAGATACAAAGATATTGTAGAATGTTAAGTGGGAAAAATATAGTGCTTTATATGACACCAGATATAGCGCAAACCGTACTATTTCAGGTTAGTTAATTTTATTAAATCGTCTATAGTTTCTATTATTATTTTATAATGTATTTGTAAATGATTTTTTTTTTTTTTACAGAAATTTGTACATTATCTTGTTAATCAAAATCAATTGGGATATTTAGTGGTAGATGAGTCGTACCATGAAGATTATTGGTTTCTAAATAGTGCAAGAGAATATCGTGGATTAAGAAAACTTAAAAAGAAATATGAAAATATTCCTTGGATTGTTGCTATTTCGAATGGCAATACTAATGTAAATATTAAAAGAATATCTTTAAAAGTTTTAAGAATTTTAAATAATTTGTTATTTTTTGATTAGGTTATTGCACGCATTAAAACCACACTATGTCTTGGGGCTCGTAGAAACGGATTGCCTAGAGATGAAATACCATGTTTTGGTCTCTTTAATTATACTTTAGTATTCCGTGGATTTAGACAATTTTGATTAGAAAGGACAAAAACTAATAATTAATAATTTTCATCAAGTACAAAGCTATTTTTATTTTAAAGTCTATATTTTCAATGTTTTGAGAAGAATACTGAACTAAAAATATTGTACATTTTTTTTTTTAATATACAAACAAAATTTATAAATTGTATTCAAAATATCTTTTACATAAATATAACAAAATGTTTCATTTATTTGAATTATATTTACGTATAGTTTTTATTGATATTGTAAATTTATGAAAAATTATCGTATTTGTAATTAGTCTGTTCTACAGTCAAGAAAACAATATGTTATTGTAATTTTTCATTATTTGCTTATTACTTTTAAGCGGGTTAATAAGTATTAATACAATAAAAAATATTGTTTAACTAAAGCTTTTTTTTTCAGGTTTTATAATCCAATCACACTTTAAATTGAATATTAAAATATTTGCTAATCTAATTAACAAATTCTGATAAATTAAAATCAACATGATATCATTGATTATACATAATATACCATAGTGTATTATACTATGTATAACCAATGATAACTAATTAAGTTTAACATTTATAAATTATAATAATGTAGCATTAGTTTAGTACATAAGTATGTTTAAGTATAATAACATAAATTAATCAATATTGTAAAATGATTTATTTGTGCTTTATATTATTTAGTTTCACAGCTTAAAGATTATTTATATTTTTACAGTTTACTTTATGATTAGCTTAGTCTACAGTTTTATACAGACAGCAAAATTAAAACAAAAGAAATAACTAAACAAATTTAACAAACCAATTCATCATATTACTTTAAATAATTCAGTAAAAATTAAAATCACACTTAAAATAGTATAATGCACAACAACAAATAGTATTTAATCATAAGTTATTTCAAATTTCCATTTTTAATACATTATCAATAAAATATATTTTAAGTATTATTAAAATTATTCTTATATACTTAGTTTAACTGATATGTTTATTTTACTTTTTTTCTCGTATAGATATAAGAAAAAAATACTTGAGGTATTTAATATTTTTCTCATTGCTTATGTAATGTAATAATAAATTCCAACACAGGAAAACGTAACCTGTGTAAACAAATTATAAATTACAATGTTTTATTATATTATTATTATTATTATCATTATTATAAATATATGTATGCACTATGCATGTTTATTTATTTTATCCATTTTGATTTTTACAGTTAATATTTTTGTAATCATTTATTAATTTAAGTTTTTATCAAAATTATTTACAATTAAAGTAACAACTTTTTTTTTTTTAATTAATATTTTTGTATGTACTTTTATCTAATAAACAAATACACATTTATAATATTTTATAATTATTTACATTATTTATTTTTCACTCTTAAAAAGAAAAATATAAATATTTACCGCTCTGTACTGATTTCATTTGGAATATAGAAGTACAGAAAAGTATGTAATAATCCTAAATTATAACGATATAATATTGATATTTGATATTATTACGACCAAATGTACATTTTTACCGGTAGACAGCAGCGAGTGTATGGATAGTATGGGAGATGCCTTAGCTGATTCTGAGCGTGCCGCACTACGACAATCGCTGTAAAATGTAGATGTATAGATTGCGCCATGTCCTACTTCGAAATGTTCGTAGCACAGCAACCACGGTTATCAAAATATTTACAAAATCCTACAGCGTAGACAAGTGTGTATTGATTTTTAGTTTTTAAGAATTACATATTTGTCCTGTTGAGTCGTCTCGGATTAGCATAAATCACACAATCTACAATATTATAGAAGTCTGTGACATAAATATGATGAATTATATTTTATCATATTATTATACAGTCATAGATAAAATTTTATTATCTTATCAATCATAAGCAACTTCTGTAAAAATACTTTTTATCTAATTAATATAAAATATTTTATCGAATTATTTTCTGTCAAAACTTTTTTTATATAATAGTTCCTATGTTGTGCAAAATATTTTAATTCATTTATATGAGTCATTACTATTAGGCAGTAAATTTATGATTAGTGACTGTAATATATTAAAGTGATGCTAAGAAATTTTTTCAACAACTGTTGATAGATAGATTCAGTGCATTTTATACAGTACATAACCCACTGTCTTTATGCTATAATCAAGGAACAAGGGCATGCATTTGTCTATAATTGGATTATTAATTTTCTGCAGTTATGGAGTTGGTAAGTTTTTATAAGTTTTAAATTTAAAAAAAAATATTAAATTATGTTGTTGTTTTAATCTACAAATATAATATACCATATTATACATAATAAATATTGAATAATTTATAAATAACTAATTTAAAAAAAAAAATCAAAATATTGCCCTCCTCTCTTCTATGAATTTATCTCTTAGTTTCTTTGAATTATTTTTTAAATATATTATACAAGATTAAATATTTTTATTTTTTTATTTTCTCAATATTTTATTGATATTTTGTATAACAAATCTCTTAAAAAAAGGTGTAGATGGTGTTTTCTTAAAGAATATATTAAAACTATAATATTTAAAATAAAAAAACCATAATCACTGATGCAGTAAAAACCTAGGTATTTAAATGCATCAAATATTTTAATTTTATGATTCATAAATTATATTAAAATCATTTAAATGTAAATTAATAAAATTATAATATAAATTTTATAGTTACAACTAGTACTGAACTAAATGAATATTTTTTTTTTTCAAAGTATTCTTGGTGACCTTGAGATTTTTGCTGGAAAACAAACACTTTTACTATTCATATTTTACTCGATGAATATATTTTAAATTTATTATTTCATGTATTTTTAATATTTTGTCAACTCTTTGTATTATTTCAAATATTTACTTAAAATAAATATATGTATATATATATATATATATAAGCGTGCATTAGGGGGAGATAATGAAGCTAGCTGCCTCCTCTACGAGATTTTCTGCTTCTCTGAGATCTTATACTATAATACATAATTAGTATAGAATTATATTTTTTTTAAATTGATTAAATTATATTTTATTGATCACTAAAGATATTATTATTAAAAATAACTCATTGAAAACTTTTCTCTTAAAATAGTCAAAATAAGATGCTAATATTCCCCTAAAAAATTGATAATATTCTTCTAATACTCTTTAAATATGCAAAAAATATGCTTTTATAGTAATATATTCTCCTATATTCAAAATATGCTTTTATATTTAAAAAAATACAATCTAATTGATAAATAAAGTTCATTAATTATGATACAGTTCTATACGTTTACTGAAATATATATATATTTTTTTAAATTACTTAAATAAACAATTATAATGTAAGTACCTTATAAATTAGCTTTAAAAAAATGTTAACTTAATATTTTATTAACTCATTTCATATTGTTATTCTATTTATAGTTACCTCAATAGTAACAACTATAAACTTAAGTTAAAAACTTATTTAATATTATTAATAATTTTCATCCCTACAATACAAAATATCCAAATTCTATAAAATTAATCTATATATTCTCTAATATTCTTTTTAATACGAAATATTCTATCATCTAAAAATATTCTAAAATATGTAAAAAAAACTTTTACCATTAAATTATATCATTTATAATTTTTATAAATTTTAAACCAAAATTTGACTACATAAACTAGAATAATATTATTCCAACTTCTACTTATAACTATTAATTCCTGTTAAAAAAAATTAATAGCAAATTTACAAAAAAAAAAAATGTATTAATATTATAATTGTTAACTAATAAAACAATATCTTAAGATTCATTATTATGTAAATATTTTGAAGTTGTTTTTTAATTGTATTAAAACTTAATTATTCTTTTAAAGTATGTCTATAATGTTTATTATTGACTGTACATCCAGTTGATCTTAAAAAGATATTGAATAATTAAATGATACATTTTAAGATACATTTCAACATATTGAGCTAATATAAAATTTTGTAAATTTAGTGAACACAATAAAGCTATATAAATACTAAGCACAATAAATTAAGCTTATTGTTTTATTATGGTATATATTTGTATTTTTATGGTTTTAATATTTTATACATACTATCTTTAAATTAATATACAAATTTTTTAATTAATTGTATTGAGTTTTTTTTTAATTTACATCATTTTACGTATTTATAGATTTTGAGAAAATAAGCATATATATATGTTATGGATTTTAAGTATAATAATTTATAGCCCCAGATTAGAAATTATATTTTAACTTAACTTGTGCTTTGTTATATTACTATTACATTATTATAGAATTTATTATAATTAAGTGTTCACTAATTTTATTATAACTTTAGTATGATTATTGATTACTGAAAACCAATTTTGTTATGTATAATATACCTTTTATTATTCATATAGTTGAAATAATATTCAGATTAAACAGAAAAATTGAATGTCTAAGTTCAAAGTATTGGTAGTCTTAGAATATATTTTTATATTTTCACTTATAAAATAATGCTTTGTTCCCGACAATTGTTTAATTCATGACAAATATTAAACCCTTTATGCTATAGATTTTGACAATATTGTTAAATTCATTAGAAAGAATAAAATTAAATACTTTTAATTAAATATTTGTAACCCTTTTATGATCATGATAGGTATATTATTTATTTTTGTTGTATTACTATGTATAACTGTGTATTACTTGTAATTAATGAACTTGACTTTTAATTGTAATGTAATATTTTTAGGTTTACATAGTACTTCTGAACAATATCCATGTTTCAACTGTTTCAAGTATTATCATAGTCAAGTTTTAGAAGAAAAAAATCAATAAAAGCGTGTCAAGTGAAAGTCATATTAATCTAGTATAGTTTATAATATTTGTATTCTCTAAGTAGAACACGGCAATTTCATATATAGAAGGAGTTATACTTTTAGTTTTTATAGTATAACCTCTATGTGCATGAATTTGCTATTTTTCTAAAAGCTCAACTCCATGGACAGAACAACAAATTTGAGTTTTAATGAAGGATTTGCTTAATCTTATTATTAGATCTCATAAAATACTTATTTAATGATATTTTTATCTACTGTAATCA